GAACCTTCGGAGCGGCCTGATCTGGATCGACCGTGAGCAAATTCAGCGAATGATAACAGCGGAGACGGGAACGCCAGCTCCACCTTTGTCTTTGCAGCCGTCGAACGGCAGACGACTTCCAGCACCTGCTCGTGTCGGTTCCCAATCGCTCCAGGGAGGGCTCGGACGGAGAAGGTGCTGTGGTCCATCTTCGAAATGAGCAGCTCCTTGCCGCCAGAAACCTGTGCAGAAGCATCACTCGTTCCAGAGTCGCTCGAAAAAGATCTCTGAGCCTGGCGTTTTGGACTGCGGTTGCCCACAAAGCCCGCAAAGATGCCCATCGCCACTTCCTGCTCCAGCTTCATCGCTCGACTCGACGGCTGCTTGCGCACTTGCTGCTGGCCCTCGTTTCCTGTTCCTCCAGTCACCTTCTGTACCTGGAGCGCTTTCCAGTAATGTTGAACCCCTGCGGCTGCAGACGTGGCATCGTCGTCCTTGACGCAGAGGCGCATTTCGGCACTGCGCAGCACGACCTTTCCCGGTGCTAGCCTTTCGAGGCTCGGCGACACTGCCACCTTGTCGACGCCAGCGTCCGCAATAGGCATGTCAGCTCTCTGCTGCTGGATAAGCTCGTTCCTTGCCGTTGCTGTTCTAGTCGGCGAGACGACCTCTGGCGTTGCTTTGCTGGCGGCGCTGAAGCGCTGACCGAATCGCACGGGCACTTCGGCATCGTACTCCTCGTCGTAGGTCTCTTCGCCCTCTGACACTGACGATTCCGCATCCGCATCCGAATCGAACAGGTCAGAGCCTTCGTCTTCGTAATCGCGGAAAGGCTTGACGTGTTCCTCGTCTTCATCGGGCCCACTGTAGTGGCCAGATGAACCGGACCAGTCACCGAGTTCGGGGATCATCGACTTGACCGTGCCAGTACCAGCGCCGCTGAGGCTGTACCCGACATGTCGACCTTCTTTTACATTCAGGTAGGCTTCTTGCGCAGGTTCCGCACGCGTAATTGGTGCCTTGGGCGGTTCTTGGGCTTTGGTGGCCGGCAAAGGCGTTGGCTCACCCGACGACAAGATCGCTCGCTTGGCTGGTGTTGGCGCAGGCTTGGTCTTGGGCTTCTGTTTGGTGGCTGGCACGATTTGAGGCGCGGGGACGTCGATGCGCCCGCATCCTGCAATGTAGATCGTGCTGGCGGCCAAGGCGGAAATTGAGCGCTCCGCACAGAGATTCTGCAGCACCACGTTGCGGTTGGCAGTTGTAAAGCCCAGGTTACGCATAAGCGGTAGTGGTCCTTTGCCCGCCACGGGTGCAGCTCCAGTGTCCTTTCGCGGCGTTTCGTTCACCTGCGCCGAAGAAGCGCGCTTCAAAAGCGACACCGACCTCCGCTTCGCCTCCACGGAAGTCTTCGCTGACGGAGCCGCGGCACTGGAGGAGGCGACCTTTGTGGGCAGCACAACTTCAGATGCTGCAAAACGGCCCAGCTTCCAAGGCTTGTTCTTGAGGACCTTCTTGCCAGCTTTCTGCTGCTCGTTCGAGAATTCGCCGGCGCCGCCATTACCATACGAATGCCCTTGGTCGGACAAAGGAAGATCGTTGACCGACACCGAGATCCACTCGGCAATCGAGTCGTTGTCTCTCGACATCCTGCCCTTCTGGGAGTCCACGAGTAGGCGGATGGCGGAAGGTCGAGCCTCCGTCTCTCCCTGGGAAGCTGCGCGGCGCTCAGCCTTGTTGACATGCGGCAGGTAGGTCGCCGAAGCTGCAGCCTGGTCTTGCGATGCTCTGGCAGAGGCGACCCGTGGCTCGATGGACTCACCCGATGACCTTTCGGCCCCCGAGGAATGGTACGAGAACGGCTTCTGGTCCGTGCTGAGGGCTGGTGATGGCATTGTGAGCGTCGTGTTCTGAGACAAGGGGCTGTATGCCGGGTCAGCCAGATCCTTATCGAACGATCCGCGGTTGTGAAGCAGTGGAGAGTTATTGGAAGAGGCGTCCGACAGCTCCGAGCTGCGTCGGGAGTGATACGGCACCACATTTGGTCGAATCGGAATACGTCCGGAGGACTGCCTTCGCTGTTGCACGGCTTGAGCAAATGCAGCCGATGTGGTCGGCGTAGGTCGACGAGGACCTTCATCGCTGGACAGCGGTCGAGGTTTAGGTCGTGATGCTGCATTCAGCAAGATTGGCCGCAGTTCTACAGATCGTCGTGGCTCCATCGAGGCGCGTCGCTGGCCTTCCGAGGTTGGAGCTGTGGCAGGATCGGCAGTGTCCTCCGAGCGCACTGGAGAAGTCAGATCCGTGCTGCTGCGATTCGAGATCCTGTTGGGGCTGATCTTGGCCAGGAAAGCCATGGCACGAGAAGGAGACCGCACAGCGGCGGCTCCAGAGACCAGATCCGCAGAGGAGCGGGTCATACGCGCGACCGGTAGCTCGAACGACAGCGATCTTCGCGGCGCTGGTGCGGCCGAGGGACCTGCATCCGGCGCCACCTTCTGGACCGGATGCTCTTCGATTTTGGAAAGCATGGGTACTGGAGGCACGATGGGTGCGGCGGGTGGCGACGACGACATGGCTCGCTCCGAGTTGGAGCCAGAACCAGAGCTGGATCGACGATCAGAGGAGACCTCGGAAGCAGTGCTTGGGCTGGTAACGACCACCATCGGCCGGCCCATGCCGAGGCCGGAATCGGGAGCAATGATCTCTTTGGTGGTCTGGAAAGCCTTGCGCGATGGTTTCGAGCGCGGGTTGGCGGCAGCAAAGTAGTTTTCGAGCGGTGTCGTGGATGGTGTGGATGGCCAGCTGGAGTCGTCGTCCGCGAACTCTTCGTCATCGTCTTCAGCGTCGACGCCCAGCAGCTGGGTGGATGTGGTGCTGCGTCGACGCCTTCTGCGCTGAACGCCGGTGCTCGTCCCACTAGCCTCGGAATCGCTGGCATGGGTAGAGTCGACCATGATAGAGGGATACCTGTCTTTGAACTGGGCCGGAGGTGGAGGCAGCTCGATACGCAAGCTGTCCCTCCTTTTCCCTGGTCTGGCGCCGCTGCCTGCTGTTCCTTCGCTGTCCGTCAGGTTCTCTGACGTCGAAGAGAGCACATCGTCCACATCAGAGGCGGCCGACTTCTCGCTGAGTGGCGGGAGTGGACCAGGCGAGAAGAGCAGCGATGGCTGTCCTGAGCTGTTCAGTTGAGTGCCGGACCAGGGCAGAGATGGCGGGCGCACAACAATGGCCGGGTTCTGCTCCGTTCCGCTGCTGAAAAACTCTTCCTCGTCGTGGCGCAGAGGGCTCGTCGCAGGCTTCTTCCCTTTCGCGCTGTACTGATACGCAGCTGAGGTAGAGGCGACTGAGCTGGCCGGGGACGAGTAGGAAGCAGTGTGGTCGGGCGTATAGCTACTCGTGGCAGCGCTAGACGGGCCAGAGCTATTGGCGGCGCGTCGACCTGCAGCGAGCAAGGCTAGGTCACTGCGAAGCCCAAGATTGGCTTTCAGGACTGGAGGTCGGGGCTGACTGGACACTGCTGACGAAATTGGAGAGGAGCTGGACGAGGTCGAAGAAGATGATCGGTCGACTGCGCCCGATCGTTGGGGTCGTGCGGCGCCAGCGAGGAGCTTTTGGTGATCTGTGAAGGCCGAAGGAGGCAGCACCCTCCCTGAAGGAATCTTTCGGTAGGTCTGCTTTGGTGGTACAAGCAAAGGCGGTGATGGGCGACGTCGTCCAGAACTTGACGATTCTGCCTGTGCGTCAAGCTCTGTCGAACCATTGGATGCGCCTCTGTCATGGTCACTCGTAGACGACGAGCGACGCGTCAGTGGTGGAGAACGCTTCTCTACTGACTGTCCAGAGGTTGGCTGGGCATTTGTCGGGACGTTTCGTGGAAGCGATGGCGCGGCGGCGGTGGGAGACGAAGGAGGCGCCAACGAAGAGGCTCGCGAGGGGATGGACGCTTGAGAGGGACCTTGACCTTTGTTCCACGCGGCAGCACTTCGGCGTGGGTCAAAGCTGGTGGGTCGTTCAATCTCTGTGCCATCCTCGCTCGCAATCACCCATCCCCTCCTTCGGTGTTTGGATTGGTATAGGACCTGCTCCTCGTGAGACGTGGAAGCCATGGCGAGTTTGTAAGAGAGCCAGGGGCAGACCGCGTCTCGGTGAGAGAGCTTCCCGTCCTTGTTGGTTCGATGCGAGACTGAGGCGGTGTTGTTGGGCTGGCCCGGGAAACAGATAGGTGTAGGCTGTGGGACTTATATCTTAGGACGGCATTTGGAACTGAGACGCTGCGATACTGATCGGATGGAGCTGGAAAAAGTCGGGTGTAGTCGTCCGATGGATTGCTGAGAAGGCGTAAGGTGAAGATCGAGAGATGGCCTCGGACACTGGTCGGTGAAGATAGTAGGGATGGAAGACAAGGAAAGGAATACAGAAGGCTGATGGTGATGGCTCTTGTTGAATCGAGCAGGCGCCCTGCTGACCCAGATGATCGGACCCGATCTAGGATTGTGGGGGGGCGGGCAAGCCTGTGTGAAGGGCAGATTGAGAGAAGGTCGTCACACGATGGCAGTGCCGGTCAAGCTGTTAGATGATCCGCGAGAAGGCGCGAGATGGCAAGGAAGCAGCGATGACCGAGTTGTTTTGTGAGGGGAAGGCAGCAGTCGGAGTTGGAAGACCGGTGAGAAGGTGTATGCAGTTGACCAAGTACGGCGTTGAAGCTTCAGGCTAGTGCAAGGGCAGTGGGATGTCTCATCGACCGATGCAAGTCGGGACGAAGGGCGGCGGAGGCTGCTTGAATGCAGTGGATGGAGAATTCTAAGTGAGGACTCTTGTTTACGGCAGGGAGGAGGTGGATGGAGTTGCTGGGGCTGTCCACAGTTTGGAGAAGCAACTGCTGAACTCCGCCAAGCATGGCAAGTGGTTCGGCGACCATCTGCTCACTCACTACAGCAGGGGAGGTTCGCTCGCCATCATCCGTGTTCAGGTGATGCATTCGATGTCCGACAGCCTTGAGCTGCAGGGCGCCCTGGCCCACGATGCATCTTACCGACCAAGCTCGCTCGGATTACTGTTGCTCGCAAGCGCTACGGCTTGCTGAGCGGTCGGAAGATGCGGCACTGCACACCCTCAGTGCACGCTGTACATGCTGCATCGCCTCAACGCGATTACTAGCGCCTACCGCTCGGCAGCGACGCAGGGCCGGGTGAACATTGCGAGGGAAGAAGGGGTGGCAGCGTTTGACGCTTCGGCAGAGTGGAGCAGCTGCAGCTCGCTCGGCGTTTTTGCCTCGGCTGTGCTGCGCGATGCTGCAGCGATGCAGTTTGAAGGCTCTCCTCCACTGTTGGACACGCGCTCTTTTTTGCCCACCTTCCCAAAACAGCAGGTCGCGCCTGCCTGCCTGCCTAAACTGCCTAAACGAGCAGAAGCAAAACTGAAAAATGAAATATGAAATATGAAATATACCGTACCCGAATCAACAGGGCAGCACATCGCCACGAACGAAACCCAAGGCCTTCGTGTCTAGGCTCAGTTGAAGCCTCGATCGCTACGATGTTTGGCGAGACCATGTCAGCCGGCTGGAAGCTCGCCGCTCGCAATCGCCGGCGCTCTTCGCCGTCCCCGATCCAGAAGCATGCGGATGCGATGAGCTCATAGCCATTCATTCAAGAGGCAATCGGATGCTCTTCTCTACTCATGACTTGAGTTTTGGAAGCCGCCCGAGACCAAGTTGACGCGTTGCCATGATCGGACATGATGTTGCTCGATCCGTGTCGGTTGATTGTTCCAGCCACCAACAGGTCAGCTGTTTTGAATGGAAGACTGGTGCGAGGCGGGCCCGTCTTAGACCCGATAGCAAGGCAAGACGGGCTATAAAGGCACGTTGATGGGCGTACCTGACGTGCCAAGTAGGTGTCGTAGCCGAATTATTCGACCGCCTTCCCGCGATCGAGCGTGGTTCCGTAGCCACCACCGTGGGAACCTCGGCTGGCCCACGTCGCTTTGTCCTTCCCGCCTCTCTCGCCTGGATATGTCGGTATCGGTAAGACCTTTTGGCCTGGCAATCATGCATATGCATGGCGTCGAGGGCGCTTCATTGCTTTTTGGGCTTCACAAAAACTGCTTGAGAGCCAGCAGAGAAGGCTAAATTGCGCCTCAAAGTAGCGCCATACTTAGCTTCGAATCAGGACGTCTTCTACGATAACACCTTCTCCAGCAGCATTAGCAGAACATTTCGTTCAGATCATCCGGCAACGAAACACGGACGAGTTGGTTCAGGAGCTTATCTTCGAAGCTGTAGAGATCCACTTTCCAGATCACGACCGTGTGAGATGGCGTTGTACATCTATGACGGGACCTGGCGGCCAGCAGCGCCTATCGTTTGAGCCGCCCATTGTTTGAGCCGCCACTCCCGGGACGGAAGGCGGGCCGCTTCGTGATCGCGTGTGGCTATTGAACAGCATCCAGCGGCATTGAACCCGTGCTCAGGCGGGCCCTGTCTCGGCTGGCGGTGCGTCCCTCAGGGTCCACAAACAATTTTTCCTCGTTTCCTGCAACTGAAACCCGAAGCCCCTGAGAGATGAGAGAAATTCGCGTCTGGCACTTGACTTCGTCACGTGTCCGCTGCTCATGCACGCGCGCCGAACATGTTCTTATGAAGCGCCGGTCTAACATGTAAAAGCGAGTCCGAGTGCCGAGTTCCGGGCTTTCTGAAGCTATGACGAGGACCTGCACGAAGCCTTCTCGCCTCAACTAGTTCACAAACAGATTCTCGAACACACAGACGATGACAGACGCAGCGGTATCAGAGGCTGACGGCAAGTATCGGTCGTCGTGGTCGCAGTCAGGCTCGGCGGAGCGCAACTCTCAGCCCATCGCCGAGGCGCTTGTGTCGCTCCTTTCTGCCGGTCCTGACACCTCACCCAAGCCGTCGGTGCTCGAGGTTGCATCCGGCTTCGGGCATCAGATCCACGCCATCGCCTCGCGCTACCCCGACTTCCAATTCCATCCTAGCGAGGCTGATGGTTATCTGCGTTCGCAGATCGACGAGCGCGTCTCAGAATTGCCCAACGTGTCCAAGGCCGAGGCACTTGACCTGCTCGATCAGAACGACTGGCTGACGCTGGCGCACAACATCTCCGGGGAGGCTTCTTCCAGCTCTGATGACGGACTGTTCCACGGGGTGATCGTGTGCAACCTTACACATGTCGCACCATGGGCGGTGACCGAAAGCCTGTTCAGCCACCTCGACCCACGCGTGGGCTACGTCACCCAGCAGGGCTACCGCAACCTCCTCTCGCGCCAGCACGGGTGGATCGCCATCTACGGCGCGTTCAACGAGAACGGCACTTTCACTTCTCCCGGTAACGAGGCGTTTGACAAGGAGATCCGAAGCAGAAATCCAGACTTTGGCCTGCGTGACCTGCAGAGCGAAATCATTCCGCTCGCACACACGCACGGCTATGCATTGGCGCAACGCATCCGGATGCCTGCAGGCAACCTCTTGCTCGTCTTCCGCCTTCGCACAGAATAGACACCTGCAATATAGATCTGAAACAGTAATGCGAGAGAACGTCCACATGAATTGCGTGCTCGCAGCTGTTACCAATCTTCTACGGCAACACAGGTGCGGTCGAGATCGATGGTGACGGTCTTGCTTCTGCCCTTCCACTGTTCGTTCTCGCGGATGGTGTCCAGGAAAAGGTAGTATCCGGGCATGTACCTGTCCACGAACCTGTCCGCGATCGAATTAGAAGCACGAGTCAGCAAGGCTCGAAAGGGGGTCGACTTCGCTATGACTGTCCACTTACGCCTTGACTCCGTCGTCGGACATGCCGCGACCACCGTTGGCTGCCTTCATGGCATGCTCCTGCTGCGTGCGCCAGATGTAGACATTGTTCAAATCGGTTGGCTGGATCTGCAAAAACACGCTGAAGTGCTCGTACCATTGGCGGTACGCCTTGAGGTTCTCGTTGATTTGGTGCAGGGCCTCTACCTTATACCTGCCCAGAGGCGACTCTGTCGGACTCGCGCTTCTTTTCCTCTCGACTTCTGCAGCAGAGATAGGCGAGAAGCCCATGCTCCATCCCTCGAGGATAAAGACATCGAGCGGCGAGTGCAGCGCTGGACTCGCGTCCGAGACTGGCGCACGGTCGCCCTCGCCGTTAAACAGGCTCTTGTCGAATACGGGCAGCTCGACCGTCTGCGAGACCCTCTCGTTGATCGCATAGATCCTATCGAGCAGCTCCGCGCCTAGTTCGGTGTCATGCGTCCCGGGCTGGCCACGGCCGGAGAGGAGCGGATTGGTGGGGTTCTCCCGTGCGACGCGATGAAGGTTTTCGTGCGTGTGGTAGAGGTCATCGGTCGAAAGGATACCGACATTGAGGCCGGACGAATTGAGGTATTGAATGAGAGCGCGAGTCACTGTGGTCTTCCCGGATCCCTGTGGACCTTGCATGGCCACAAACAGCGGCGGTACCGATGCTCCGCCCGAGAAGCGCGCGCGAAAGCTCTGCAGCTGCTGCACGACGTGCTGGCCAAACACGTCGACAGCGCGTATGGCCGATCTAGTAGCCCCGTTTGCAGACATTGTGGCCCCGAATCTTTAGAGAGCTCGTCACAGGAGGGTGTGTGATGTGGCTCTGCGAGAGGGAGCGATTTGGGGGCAGAGATTCGGGATGATCTGACCGCCATGTGGAGCTCGGTCTCTTGTCCGGAGTTGGATGTGTGGGGCAGAAAATTGCCCCGAGTCTTCCAAAAAGTGGGAGAGTGGGAGTCACGGGTCTAACATCTTAGATGTTTTCGCAGAAACGAACTGGCTCTGCTCTCGCGCCAAACACCCCCTTGCATCCAAAAGGCAGGCATGGCCTTGACGACACCTCGCTGCCTCGTCATAACTTAGCATCCAGCGCCCATCCCTGCACATCCCACCCTCTGCAACGACAGCGCTGAAGCAACCGCATCTTGCAGCTTGCTTGTCCTGCTTCCTATCAGGGATGAAGGCGAGGCCAAAGCACAGACAGTATCGTCGAAGTCGCACGTCCGGAATGCGTGCCGAAGCAACCGGATGTCGGCGTCTTGAGGGATGCGGGGATCACGGTGACTTTTCGACGTGTCTCGACCCGAGGTGATGGATCGCTAGCAGCCTGCATTAGCGCCAACGAGAAGTGCTGGTATCAACGTCAATGTGCGCTGTGGTTGCACGCAAAGCAAGTCTAGCACCGCTCGCATCTGCGGAGCGATGCACGAGGCTGTGGAAGTCCGGCGAAAACTGACATGTGCGACTATAGCGCTGAAGGCGGTCGGTACCACCGCAAGAATCAGCGGGGATTCCGCCGGCTTGGTGGGGTGCATTTGCCTTTCTCAGCCTTGTTGGATTGGCGAGGAGAGGCGCATGAGTGGCGCATGAGGGGAAGCGGTCCGAGGGTACGAGGGACACGTCGACGAGGCTCTGTCGATCCATGCACGGATCTGCGATTTGACGTGAGGCGAGCACGCGCGTCGAGCACCCAGCCGAAGCGAGAGGAATGTCGCCGGCACCATAAATCTCGTGGCCCCTCTCCTCGCAGGCTGCCCACAGAGTCGCGCCTCGTCTCTGCCCTAGGATTGAGACAGAAGCTGAGTGATGCTGCAGCTCTTGACGCTAGTGCGAGCATGCTTCTTTTCTCAACCCTGCGCCTGCACACTACACTGCGTCCGCGTGCTACGAGGGTGATGCTCAGTCTGCTGCATGGCGGTGCTTCTTCAGGCCTTCTCTGGCGTGAGCAGCTACAGAGGGAACTGTGGTCTGTCGTTAGGTCCCCCACACTTTCGTAGCGCCTGCTCTGTCACTCCATCTTCACATCCATCATCAGCCTTTGGTCCAACTTGTCGCTAATCTTGGACCTGTTCACTTCGTCTTCTATACTACACAAACCTTCAAAGATGCACTCTCGATCGCTTGTTTCGAGCGTGCTGCTCGCTCTCGCCGTGCTTAGCGGCAGCAGCTTTGCCTCGACCGACAGTGCCACGCCTGTCGTCAAGGCATACGACAACTCGACTCCGAGCGATGCCTACGATGCTGCCTCGCCTCCTCTCACGCACAAAGCTCAGCCTGACGGACGCCACGAGCTGCGTTTCACCCTCATGGGATGTCCCTCGACCGTACGGCCCAAGATCTCGGGGACGTCGGGCTCTCAGGGCGAGTTCACGCCGTCGCCACCGGGCAACATCATTGTGCCCGCCGACTTTATGGGTTCGGTCTACCTCACGGGCGAAGGATGCGGAAAGTACGGCGACAGCTGCCAGTCGGTCGAGCTGACGTTCCAGGCCGAACCAACCGATACGGTACAGAGCTACATCAACTTTGACGCGATGAGCGGCAAGAAGTTCCTCTTCCCCGTCAAGGCGAGGTTCGACGATAACAAGGACGCGAGCGACGCAGCCACGATCGACTGCGCATCGTACGACTGCATCGACGGCTCCAGGGATCCGGACGACTTTATCTCCAACAGGATCTACTCGTCCACAAAGGGTGTCGGCGTCGATATCGTCTACGACTGCAGAGCCAACACCACATCGACTACCGACTAGTCACGACGCAACCCACTTGGTCTGTCGCCTTTCGTCTTCGCCCTGCCCACCAACATCTTTCGTTTCGACGCCTCGGGCCCTGGCTGGTCCAGCATCGCTTTGTACACGCTCATTTGCCCGCGCTCAGGTTGGCGCCCTCGCAGCTCCCATCGCTAAGTTATACGCTCGTTTGACTCTTCAAAGGACAGTCGTTTCTCTTTCGTCTCGCACGCGCCTGTTCCTCGACTGTACGTTGTTTGTATTGTTTCTTTCGAAGCGTTTCAAGCCTTGGAGCGGGGCTTGAGCGCCTGCTGCGTCTCATCATCCGTCTTGCCCGTGAGGAAGTCCTCTACGACCTGGACGAACTCGTTGGGCTTCTCGGCCTGGCACCAGTGACCTGTCTCCATGTGCACAAGCTTGGCGTTGGGGAAATATGCCAGGTTCGTGGGGATGTTGTGTCTGTTGACGTACTTGCTCTTGTTTCCCTTGATGAACAGCGTCTCGCCGTCCCAGCTGCGTTGTGGCGCATTCTCGCTGCCCTTGATACTGTCGGCCGACGCGCCGGATGGGTTGTAGGGAAAGTCGCCGATCTGTGCGATGTTGTTGCGGATCAGATCTACCGGAATCCTCCAACTCCATGTCTCTGCGCCGGGAGGGTTCCGTGTAAGGTTCGTGAGAAGGAACTGGCGCACGCCGAGGTCGGGTTCGGTTTGCTGAAGGATCTCGTCGGCTTCGCTGCGGCTACGGCAGGGCTTGTCGCGGATTTGCACCATGGCGTCGATGTACCGCTCGAACTCGGGCGACAGCGGACCGCGTTTGGCGGACATGTCCACGCTGACCAAGTTGCGCAGCATTCCTTGAGGGAGATCAGGGTGAAGGGCGACGCTCATGGACACCTTGCCGCCCATCGAGTGGCCGATGAGCCCGACGTTGCTCAGGTTGCGTGCGGACATGAACGCGATCACGTCCTGCGCCATGTCGGCGTATGCGAGACCGTCGATGTGTGGTGACGTGCCGTGATTGCGCAGGTCGAGCGCATAGACAGGAACACCGAAGCGCGTGGACATGGCTCGACCCAAGGAACGCCAATTCTGCTTAGACCCAAACAGGCCATGGCAAACGACCAGGGAGCTGACAGGCACCGCAGTGCGACGCTTTGCAACCTGGTCCTCCGTCGGCACACATGCCTCGAAATCGAGCTCGACGGTCTCTCCCGTGGCTGCGGCGGCGACGGAGACTGCGGGATCTGAAGAAGGTGTGGACAGAAGGCGGCGCTGCCCGAATGGTGCGAGCACACGCACGGAGCGCGACACGGCAGCACCACCGCGCAGGCACTCTCCTCGGAACAGCGTCAGCATCGTTCGATCTTTCAACGCTGTTGTCCAATGTCGGGTCCTGTCGAGTGGTGGGTATGGTGAAAGTCGCACAGGAGGGTCAGAAGTCAGTTGATTGAACCGATTCGGGCCGTGCACATGTTGATTTAAATGGCCGATTTTTCAAGCCGAGCAAAATCCCGTCCTTTTCGGCAGAGCTACCGATTCTGCATTGACCCGAACCGGTATGTCCGGCTATCGATGAGGACTTCTTAAACGCAGACAGACAAGACCACTCAGACGAAAACAAAGACGGCAGTGCAAAAGGGCTCTCACCTCCCGCTGACGATTATACACGGCGTGCATGGCGAAAGCAGAAGCAGTGCCGTATTCGGAAACGACGACAGCTAGAAATACATCTCGGGCAGCTCAGCAATCACTTGGCCTCAGTCGTTGGCCCGGAGGTGCTGGCGGTCGTCGGGTTGGCATCTTCTGGCGCAGGCGTCGGCGTGGCTGCTCCTGAGGCGGGCGTATTGGCGCCGCTGTTATCGAGCTTGCGGCGCTTCTTCCTTTCGTCGCGCGCCTTGATCTGTTCCTCGAGCTGCTTGCGTCGCTCCGTTGTGTCAATATGCCTCGGTTGGCCTTTGGCGGTCAAAATCTCGACACCAGTCTCGGTGATGAGAAGCGTCTCTTCCGCCGCAGCCGAACGAGCGCCATCGACGGTGGCGACGGTCCAGTCGTCTGGCCACGACAGATCCCTCCACTCGGAACCGAGGTTGAGCATGGGCTCGATGGTGAAGATGTGGCCGGGCTTCATGACGCCGTAGCTCTTCTTGGTGGCGTGGTGATAGATGGTGGGTGCGGCGTGGAAGCAGTTCGAGATGCCGTGACCGGTGTAGTTCTTGACCACAGCGCAGCCTTCCGCCTCGGCGAGCGGCTGGATGACGCGGCCAATCTCGCCATAGGGGACGCCTGGACCGCAGATGTTGATCGCAGCGTCGAGGCATTCCCTCGCGACCCTGATGAGCTTCATCGACTCTGCATCCTCCTCGGCCTTCTTGCCGACGGGGAAGGTAGCGTTCAGGTCGCCGTGGTAGCCCTTGTGGAAGAGCGTCACATCGATGTTGAGGATATCGCCATCTTCGAGCGGACGCTGGTCTGGAATACCGTGGCAGATGACCTCGTTGACCGAGCTGTGAAACGCCAAGACAGCGATCAGAATAAGAGCAGGTCAGAAAGTGTAAATAGCTGCCGGATCAGCTTGTTATGGGGAGAGCAACGTACGTGCACACGCTCTTGGGATACCCGTGGTAGCCGAGTGGACTGGGGTAGCAGTCGCGCTTGATTGCTTCGGCAAAGACGACCTTGTCGATCTCGTCGGTGGTGACGCCGGGCTTGATGTGCGACGCGGCGATCTCGAGTACTTCGCGAGCGAGCTGGAAAGAACAAGGACGAACGGAAGCGTCAGCGTCAAATGTAGCAAGGCGAGGTGTGAGTGCAACGACGAGAGACATACAGTGGCAGACTTTCGCACGCCGTCCTGATCAGCTTGAGTGTTGACTTTGATGTTGCGCGATTCGAGAAACTGTTTGAGCGCATCGAGCGCGAGACCGAGTAGGAGGAGAGCAAAGAGGGTGGACCAAGGCAGGGCGTCAGCATGGCGTGGGCGTGCGAACATAGGGAGGGCTACAGTCAAAAGCGGAATTCTGACCTGCCACCAAAACTCCAACCACATCCTCACCCCTTCCCTAGCGTAGTTGGGCCTTCGAATCGACGGCGGAATCTTGGGCTTGGGACTCAGCGGGTAGACCGCCTTGACGGAGCCCGAGTACTTGAAGCTGCGGACATTGGCGAACGGGTCGAACGTGGCAATGTCGTCGCCAGCGCCGCCGCTGGTTGCTGTTGGCGTCATGATGCGGCAGTGAGTCCGGTAGCGATTTCGATGGTGGTTGCGAAGCAGGAAGCACGGATCTGCACCAGCAAACCTAGGATTCGGTGCGGCTGACCCTGAATTCTCACGCCCCGCCAAAATTTGGACACTTCTCCACACGAATTTTCACAACTTCAGGATGTTACACCTGCGGAGATGACATCGTTGAACATCGCCCGCCGCAGGACTTGCTGGCAGTCTATGCCGGCAACGCCCGCGACGGCGACGGTAGGAGCTAGCGGCGGTCAAGGCATGACTGGGATCAAGCGACACACTATGCTATGCGATATGCGATTCCTATTTTATTTTCTGCGAAGCGAGAAGCGACAAGAGTTACAGAGCGAACAAGACTCAGATGCCGCGGCCACCGGTCACCTCGAGGGTCTGACCGGAGACGTACGAAGCGAGCGGGCTGGCAAGGAAAAGAATGGAAGCGGCAGCCTCCTCGACCTCACCCGGCCTGCGGAGGGGAATGTCAGCGACGGCGGTGACGGCCTGCTCCTTGGAGTTGCCAGCGGCGGGACGACCGGGGATGCCGAGCGCGATCTTCTTGCCGTCGATCTCGATCGAAGCACCGGCCTCCTTGGCCTGGGTGAGACGCGTGTTGATCCAGCCGAAAGCAACGGTGTTGACGCGGACGCCGAAGGGACCCCACTCCTTGCACATGGTCTTGGTCAGGCCGAGGACACCAGCCTTGGCGGCCGAGTAGTTGACCTGGCCGACGTTGCCGTGGGTGCCCGAGGTGGAGGAGACGTTGACGATGGCCATGTTCTCGCGCTTGCTCTCGTCCTTGATGCGGAAGTAGGGTGCGGCGGCGCGGATGATGCGGAAGGGG